GCACCTTTGTACAGCTGGAAGCCGAGCAACTTTACTTTTAGCAGCAAAGTTACGTGGAGCAAGAAGGCTTATTAATGTGTTATGCTCTGCAGTGGATTGCATCAAAAGCATAATTCTGAAAACATTGGCTAATATTTATTTAAGAACCAGTCAAGCAACCAACTCTTAACACTATAAAGGATATCCTGAAAATTTGTGGGCTGTCCATCCATTGGAGCATTCTTACAGAACCTTTTATTTATCATTTCAGGAGCAGGGCTCCAGCACGATTTACACTCACTTCAAATATGATTTATACGATGCTTTTCTGGATGAATCTATGCAATTTGGGGAGCAGAGGGGAAATATAATCAGGATTCATAACTGGGTTAAGAAAATGGATCTGTTCTATGGAAAGTTCAATGTGATGCAGTTTATAGGTTCAAATAAAGGAGCTATAGGTTTTGGTAAAATAAATAAAGTAATTTAGGTCATAATAGTAATAATAATAATCCTTGAGTTTGATATATTTTATCATGTCTTTGAGACATCTTGAAGAGCTTCACAGAATATACCGTAAAGTGAATTGACTGTATATTTTGTGGGCGAAACATGGCAACCAATATAATTACCATTGTATAAAATTAAAGGAAATGGTGAGGGCTGCATGTGTTCTTGAACATACGAAAACCTATTCACTTTTTAGTATATTGTTGGGTGAGGGAGAATGAGAAAGAGTGGAAGCATTGGGGAGATTAGAATTAAAAATTGCAATGTGCCAATGACAGGGTACCAAAGTTCAAGTGACAGAAGGTGATACAAAGCGTAGGCTTGCCAACATGCCATGCCACCAGTTTCTAATCTGGGGAAGACATTCAGTGAGGATATTGAGCGGAGTTGAGGCATTCGCCCACCATTTGGGGAGGGGCATGGGAGACAAGGGGCAATTCAGAAACTAAATGAACCCAGATGCCTCTCCTGTTCCATTGTTCCTTCCGGGAGCCAGTTACAGAGTGTCATCGGGAGAAAGTTACCTGGCTGCTGTCTTGGTGAAGTAATGCTATGTGGCACAGGGGCACCTAAAGAGAAACAAACAGTGNTTTTTTTAAAGTAAACAAATCGTCCTTCCCCTAAGCAACAACACAAGCAGCAGGTGGAATGCAACTTTTCTTGTGATAGCTTTAGCCCACTGGCCTTCGGTTACTCTCAAAACACAAGTCAAAAGATTGGGTCAGGTGAAGAATGCCCTTCAGCTCACCTGAACTCATCCTTCCAGAATATTCACCACCCATCTGTCTTCCCATCACTGGATCAAGCTGCTTTTCTTAGAATGCATCCAGAGTCCTGGCCTCAGCCACCGTTTCTGGTAACTTGTTCCAGTCAGTAATTACCCACTGGGTAAAGAAAACCTTCCTGGTGTCTATCCTGAAATTGACCTTTGCATCCCTAAATATGTATCATCTTGTTCTACTGTCCTGGTGCATCTGTGTGCAACTAATATATTTATTAATTTGAAATGGTCATTTTTAAAATTAATTTAAAATTCTACTAATTCTGCGATTAAACTATTTTCTTTCTATGATGAAAACAGAACTTCAAATTAGCTGCAATACTTAGAAAATCACAGTTGTTTCTTTCTTGAAGTGAATCTGTGTAGTACATGTCTAAACTATAGTCCGTCATTGTCCCATATGGAGTCCCCATAGGACTCTTCCTGATAAATCACATGGAGTATTTACTTAATTTTGTTGAGGAACATGGAGGAGTTACAGTGGGCAATTACAGTTTCAATGTTACCAATGTTCTATCATCACTGAGGCATGGTTCCACACTTCAACCTTGAATGAGAGCACATTTACTGGAGATTCAAGTATAGTAGGATTGCCAATGAACACAGCAAAAAAAAAACTCATCTGCAGGGCACTTCAGAAAAAGCCAGTGTAAATGGCACCTTAAAGAGTGACGCTTCAGGACGCTTCTCCCTATAGGATCCCTTTTATGGTTCATAGGCTCCAACGAGATCTCGGCTCTGTGGATATCTCGGGTGAGAGTCAAGTTTGGATCTTAGTGTGAGATGTCATTTACACCTTTGTTTTTCTGATGAACGCTTTTTAACCCAAAGTTTCGGCCCATTGTTCCAACTCATTGTAACCTGCTCATCATCCTGTTCACCATATAATACACACATAATCAAGTACCAGTTTAATAACTATTATTGTTCATTTCACAAATGGGATTTCAAAGATTTCAGACTGAAATTTCCATTTAGGTTTTTTCAACAAGTTGAATTTCAAACGCTTCCTGTAAGGAAAAGGATGGGGTCCATACTTCCTGGTGTTCACATGAAGGACCTTCACTCATTGCATTGACTGGTGCTTGGAAGATGATCCTATCATAGCAGTGGAAGCCAGTCGAGCAGAGGGAAAGGAAATTAAAATTTTTTTATGTCACATATCTACTTTCTTTCTGAATCTCTACAAAGCACAAAATATAGATCTATTTATATTTACCACTAAATTAGTATAATACTATATTATATATCTCAGTCTCATGCAAGGTCACATGGAAAAACACATTTAGAAATGTGGTCACCTCACTTAGATTCCATGGTCCTACCATTCTCCAACATAATGGATGAAATTATACTCCATTGCTAGTATTCTACTAATACTTTGATGTAGTCATTATCTTTATATGTTGATTGAATTGCTTCTTTTTACAGTAAAAGCTCAGTTTGAAGGAAATGTAATAGCAGATAGCTTATAAATGTTATTCGTGGTAGTGGTGGCTGGGTGCTCACAGCGAGGTGGACAAACATCGAGCCACAGCTATCCCAAAATCAAATCTATGACCTTTCACTTCTGAAATCCTTGTTAATTCCACTTTAATTTTCCTTGTAGACAGGTGACAACTAGTCTGAAACAGACTTGTCTCTGAAACTCCCACAAACAGAAGGAATGATGTGCAAAGTTTGATCACTGGTATCCTGAATTTTTTGAATTGATCTTATAGCATCCTGGCATAAATATAACCTTATCCACGTCAACCATTTGGCTCTCCAGATGCAGTCTTGCAGTGAGTTAACAACCTGGTTGAAGCTCTCTTATGTTGGAGACAATGGGTTCTGCAAAGGAGGAGGCAAGCCCTATCCAAGTCAATTGGATTCCATTCCTTTAGACACCATGGAACACAAACTCAACAGATGGGTTTTCTTTGTTTTCTATCAATCGTGGGTTAGAGCAATCTATCACAAAAAGATGGTGAAAAATAGGACCGAGATAGTTTGAAGATTCCCATACTTGGATTTTCTATCCTGGCTTCCTTCATTTTCCAATCCAGTTCAACCGTTTTTCAGCACCAAAAAAAGAAGTGGAACTGTAGTAACTGCCCCCCCCCCCATCTCTCTCTCTGTAGCTCTACTTTCAATGTCCTACCAGCTGATTCTCACGATCACCTCCAAGGTTATTTGACACACGCATCTCAGCAAATATTTGTTTGAGCATGGCAATTTTGATACATTGCAAACGCTGTCTTTGCAATTGACATCAACAGTCTCTCTTTAGATGTCACAGCTGGTATTTATCCTGGAGATTTTTTAAAGTAATTCTGTTGTAAAAGTCAAAGCGTTTCCAGGAATAAACATTTAAACAGCTTTTACTAATCTTACAGAAAGCATAAAAGCTGAAAACTGGGCCTTCTTTAATCCTCAACTGCATTAACCAGGTTGAACTGAAAAAGATTCTCTTAGAGGTATAGTTCTGAATATTTTAAAAGGAGGCATTTCAGCAAAGTCATGGAAAAAGTTGTCGTTCTCTTTCCAAAATATTCAAACTGTGTGCATTCAACCCCAATTGGCTTTCTCTGGTCCTTGATTTTAATAGCTTCTAAATGATCCAGTAGGTTTATATGGGTGAGATGCACAGCGAAGATTGCCTAACTGCACGTGAGAATGAAAATGAGAACCTTGTAGTTTTTGTAGTTTCGAAAAGCAATGATTGATCAGTTGTATGAAGGCTGGTGTAAAGGAGTTCAATTTGTGATATTTGCAAAATAGCTGAATAACAGCTAAGAGGAAAAATAAATGGCCTGAAAACAAAAGAAACCAGAGATGTTTTGCTCTTCGTTCTTTTTTGCACTTTGTCGGCTCTCAAAAATCATTAATTAACCACTTTGTGAACATCTCAAATTAGACGACATTCAATATTTCAAATGGAAGTTTATCATTGTAAAAGTGTCATTGGTTTAAGAAGTATTGTTTGCTTGGATGTAACTGCAAAAAAAAGCAATCGGTGACAATGCATTAAAGAACAATGGATGATAAACCTCTCCTGTGATCTTGTGAACATAATTATGAATGTCCGAAGGAACCAACAGATGCCCAGTTCACTCTTTATGCTAAAAGTCAGGTGTAATACCAATGGAACTGTGTAAGGCACTCTGTGCCCAAAATTTGGAAAGGGCTGAGTCATTGATAGTAATAAGTAATAAGAACTTTGTATGCATTGGAAATTTCCTATTGCAATTTATAAACCAAAGGGCATTAAACCCACCAAGGAACATCAGTAGATATAGTCCAGTAATGTGACGCAGATGTCCAGGGTAACACCAGAAATCACAACTGCACTAAAAGTGATCAGAATCAGAGAATCATTACTAAATGCTGGAAGACTTATATGTTCACCAGAGAAAACATGAATGAGTCTGCTCTGTTTGTGCAATGACATCGGCAGATGTAAGAAAGGTGCTGCTCTATTCAGATATCAGCAACAAATTCTACACCAACTACAATGGAAGAAATGTGTTTGTGCTTTATACTGAGTGGCATGCAGATTTACACCTGATATTTAGGAAAATCCAAATGCATACCTCTCATTTTAAACAAAGGCATTAAACTTTGAAATAGTATTCAGTAATTATTTCCTAGACGAGTCAGCAAATTGGAAATTATTGATCGACAATTATTTTGTGACCTCACAAAGGTTTTCTCTGAAGATGAATATTCTTCTGAATTTTAAAGTTACCTTGGTACTGAGCACTGTATCCCCTGTGCCTGTGATTGTTGTCTGATATAAAGTGCAGCCTAAGCCAGTTCTTGCTGCTGATAATAGGTGGAGGCAGATTCATCCCAGACAACCTGCAACAGAAAAAAAATACATAGAAATATGTTTGTTACCAATTTCATCAATTCAATTTCCTACATTAATGTTTATCATCCAAATTAATCAGTGGCGATCAAACCAGATACAAAATGACTCCAGGGGAAGCTGGAAGGAACTTAGGGATCTTAATCATTGCACGAGGTCAGCTGTTAAAAATAAATGCATTAAGCACACCAATAACTGCTAACTTATGGCTTTTAGCAGCTTTTTCAATCATTATAATAGAAGGATCTATGGCAATTTATGTTTCCTTTGAAAGCTTAACACAGTCAATGTAGTGTTTTATATACCCATGCACTGAGGCATGCAATTGAGCGTGGTAATTTTTTTTTTGCATTGAATCCATTGTATGTCATAAGTTTAACCCAAGTGAATGAAAGAACAAGCACCTTAGATCGAAATTACTCATTGCCATTAATTCCTGTTGTTTTGAATTCACTCTTAAGAATTAATTATTGACTTCTTGGGCAGGGTTTCACAAGAGTACCCATGGAGTAAACCAATGGTCAATACCACCAACAATAAGTAAATGCTAATCTAGGCTTTAACCTTGTATGCTTACAGTTCCTGCAAGATGTTTAATTGTGTACATCTGTGAAAACCTCCTAGTACTGCATAATTTAAAATGGACATCACTGGCCTGCAATTCCATCTAGTGTTAGTCTGCATGTTGTCCTTAGTGGGCTGATGGGCTTCTGTGACTGTAAATTTCTATGGTTCTATGGTGCCCCGCCTCAGCCAATATTTAATGATCTATGAACCAAAAGCATCAGACTTTTTAAAAAGTAAATATATGTCTGTTTGTACCTTTGTTTATACTGTTGGTTCTTTTTATCTGTTGTTCCCTGCTCACCAATTTCCTGTCCCGATTTGTTTTGTTTTGTCAATCTATTGGGACCAAAGTTCCACAACTGGTGGCCACAGACCTACCCCCACCCTCCCACGCATGGGACTGCACCATAATTCATATGTGAATCTTAGCGATAAGAATCAGTAGGCTACTTGACCAGAGAGGGCAAGCAAATGAAGCCCACAAAAATCTATATTAAAGGCATCTATATTATACACAATACAATTTATGTACACAACAACAACAAAAATACATTTATAGAGCGCCTTTCTCGTCAGGAGGACATCCCAAAGTGCTGAACAGTCAAGTGTCGGGGCCCGAGGCATGGGGGAGGTGTGGTGTAGGGGTGAGGGAAGGCAGAGAAGCGGAGGGAGACCAAAGGCACGGTTGAAGAGAAGGGTCTTGAGACCGGCCTTGAAGGAGGCAATTCCCTTCAAACCTATCAAATCACACACACACACACACACACAGACACCAACTGCAATGAGGAGCACCAGTTAATCTGGAACCAAGTGAGAAACAAATTCCACTTTGGTCCAGATTTACTCTATTTGTTTAACTATTCAGTGGCTAGAATTTGGCAAATTGTTGTATCATTCTTAACTTTGAAGCCTGTATTCTGTACTTATTATCCTTGCCTCGACTCTTAACCTTCCTAGAAACCTATTCCATTTGTTAATTATCCTCTGGATGAATAAATAATGCCTAATATCTGTCCTGAAATATCCTTTACAACCCAGAACCTCAGGTTTCTGGTATCTTGGCTTATCTGAAAGTTTGGTGCATTTTGTCAACAGACTGAAAACCTACCAAGAATAGAGGGGAACCAAGAAGACGATGTTAGCGAGCAACTTGGGGGAATTAATATTAGTAAAGAAATGGTTTTAGGTAAATTGTCAGGTCTTAAAACTGATAAATCTCCTGGATCTGATGGCCTACATCCTAGGGTTTTAAAAGAGGTGTCTACTGAGATAGTGGATGGCTTGTCTTTGATCTTCCCAAATTCTCTGGATTCTGGAACGGTTCCCATTGATTCGAAGATTGCAATCGTAACACCATTATTTAAGAAGCATGGGAGAGAAAAGATGGGGAACTATAGACCATTTAGTCTGACATCAGTGGTAGGGAAAATTTTTGAGTCCTTAATTAAAGATGTTGTTATGGGATTTCTGGAAGACCATAACAAGATTAGGCAGAATCAACATGGCTTTACAAAAGGGAAGTCATGCTTAACTAATCTTTTAGAGTTTTTTGAAAATGTATCAAGCAGGTTAAATAGGGGGGAACCAGTAGATGTAGTATATTTAGATTTTAAAAAGGCATTTGACAAAGTGCCACACGAAAGGTTATTGCACAAGGTTAAGGCCCAAGGGATTAATGGGAACATATTAGCATGGATTGAAGAGTGGTTAACGGGTAGAAACAGAGAGTAGGGATAAACAGGTCATTCTCGAATTGGCAGGATGTGACCAGTGGAGTGCCATAAGGATCAGTGCTTGGGCCTCAGTTATTTACAATTTACATCAATGATCTAGACGAGGACATTGAATGTAACACATCTAGATTTGCGGAGGACACTAAACTAGGTGGGAGAGTAAGCTCTGAGGATGATGCAAAATGATTGCAACGGGATATAGATAGGCTAGGGGAGTGGGCAATTCACTAGGTTAGTTCCTGGGATGAGGAGACTGACCTATGAGGATAGGCTGAATAAACTAGGGCTATATTCTCTAGAATACAGAAGAATTAGGGGAGATCTTATTGAAACATATATGATTTTTAAAAGGCTGGATAAACAACAACAACAACAACAAGATTCCATTTATAAAGCGCCTTTCACGTCAGGAGGACGTCCCAAGGCGCTGCACAGTTGGGTCATGACCCGAGCAGGGGGGAATGGTCAGGGTGAGGGAAGGGAGGGAGCGAGGAGGGGGGAAATGGTCAGGGTGAGGGGAGGGAAGGGAGGGAGCGAGGAGGGGGAAGAGAGTCGAGGGGGGAGCTGAAGGCACGGTCAAAGAGAAAGGTTTTGAGACCGGCCTTGAAGGAGGAAAGGGAGGAAGCAAGGCGAAGGCACTGGGGGATGGAGTTCCAGAGCCTCGGGGCTGAGAGGCTGAAGGCCCGACCACCGATGGTAGGGCGGTTGGGGCGGGGGACGTGGAGCAGACCGGAGCCAGAGGAACGGAGGGTACGGACAGGTAGGTAGGGGGATAGTAGGTTGGAGAGGTAGGAGGGAGCAAGGCCGTGAATGGCCTTGTAGGTGAGGATGAGGATCTTGAAATCAATCCTCTGGGGGATGGGGAGCCAGTGGAGGCGAGCGAGGGTGGGAGTGATGTGGTCCCGAAGCCTGGTGCGGGACAGTACACGAGCTGCAGAGTTCTGAATGACATTGAGTGATTGTTTCCCCTGGTAGGAGAATCTATAACCAGTGTTCACAGTCTTAAAATTAATGGTCAGCCTTTTGGAACAGAGTTGAGGAAACATTTCTTCACTCAGAGGGTAGTGAATTTATGGAATTCACTACCCCAGAAGGCTATAGATGCTCAGTCCTTGAACATCTTCAAGGCTGAGACTGATAGATTTTTTAAAAATAGAGGGATTAGGGGATATGGGGATAGGGCAGGTAATTAGAGTTAGATCAGAAGATCAGCCATGATCTTATCGAATGGCGGGGCAGGCTCGAGGGGCCGAATGGCCTACTCTTGCTCCTAATTCTTATGTTCTTAAAACTAGGCAAATCACCTCAGCACCCATCCACAGAGTGGCTTTGATCAAGAAAGGTAAGATGTTCATGGTTGCTCACACTTTTCAGATAGTCTAGGATGTTTAGGGAAAATAAAACCAACAAAGAAATTTTGATAAATATTTCCTGCAACCGCGGGTACAATAAATGGAGTATTTTCACTGAAAAGGTTCCACGTAACTACACCACTTAACCACAGACTATTCAGCAACATCTAGATCTGGACCCTTGTGGTTGTGGTCTCCTACTGGAGAAAACCACATTAGCTTATTACCTGTTTATGATACACCCACCAAGCACATGTAATTACACAGGCGTCCCACACTGCACTATAACACTGCCATTGTGCCAACATCTGTTCACATATTTGGAGGAATTGGTTCCCTTGTTGGAACTTAGAGAAAATCTGCTTCAAAATGAGAGCTGTATTTAAGAATTTACCAAACCCAGAATATTCCAAATGCTCAATAAACAGAGGAAACTAAGATGGAATTTGGACTCCATTACATCAATTGTAGCCTCCTACTGTTAACACTTACAGAATGGAAACAGGCCACATGAAGCAACTTGACCATGCCAGTGTTTGTATTCCACAGAAGCCCCCTCCTCTCCTATTCCTCTCTCCTATACTACTCCATTCCCTTCTTCCTCATGTATGCATCAAATTTCCTCTTAAATATGTTGTTGCTATATGCTTCAAATACAGCTTCTGGCAATCAGTTGCACATTCTCACTACCCTCTGAAAAAAAAATCCTTCTACATACTCGCTAAGATCTGCTTCTGGCTGTCTTATATTTATTTAGGACTCATCAATGAGTGTAAACAACCCATCAACGTCCACCATATCAAATCCTTTCATAACTTTAAAACTCTAACAGGTGCTTACATTGCTACAGAGAAAACTCCAACCTGTCCAATCTTTCTTGGTAGATGTATCCACTCAACCCTGGTCATATAATGATAATTCCTACATTTGGTACAAAGCCTTATCATGTCGAAAGGACATCTCAGAGTTCTTCCACAGGATTTACTGTGAAATAAAGTGACTGTGTATTTGCAGGCAAATGCGGAAGCAAAATTATGCACAGCAATGTCCCACAAACAGTCTTGAAATGAGTGACCAATTTTATTCGGGGAATTGTTGGCCAGGTCACCCGGAGAAATCACTTCTCTTTTAAAGTTGTGCCATGGGGTCTCAAACGTCTTCCTGAACAGGCAGGTGGGATCTTGGTTTAACATCTCATCTGAAGGAATGAACTAGGCAACACCCCTTCAAGCGCTGCATTGGAGTGTGAGCTTAGACAATGTAAGTTCAAGTCCCAATGTGAGATGTGAACCTACAACCTTCTGACTCAGAGGCAAGACTGCTATCAACGAGCCAAAC